GACCCCGGATAGGCGGAAGAAAATGGATGGATGGATGGATGGATGGATGGATGGATGGATGAATTATATTCTTACATTTGGCCGCAGCCCTCAGATAGATTTTCATTTTGGGGAAAAGCTTTGTGCAGCCTTGATATATGTATATAAACTGAAACAGCTGGACTAGTGCATCCTAAATTTAACATCCATTCATTCTTTTAATACAACAGTCATTTCTGCAGTTTTTGGGGAGGTCACCTCCTAATAAATGTCCTTACAGAAAATCTAACTGCTCATTTTAAATCTATACTTTGACTTTTAATACTTACGTACAAAACATAACAGATACTTTAAGACTTTTACTCAAGTAATATTCCTAAAAGAGACTTTAACTTTTACAAGTCATTTTTTGGTAAGATACTTGTACTTTTACTCAAGTATGACTTTGTAGTACTTTATACAACACTGCTAGCTGTTGAAACTGTGGCCCTGCAGAGCAAGACGATCCTTTTCTGTGAGTTTATCACTCAGCAGAGATATTTCATCTGGCTAATATAAAAGCTTCGATTGGGTCAGCTTTAAGTCTTCTAAATGACTCCAGTCAAATGTTGCTGATGCATCCGGCTGCCTTCCCTCTGGCAGCCAGAACTGCACTCTTCTGGCATTTCAGAGAGGCACCACTGAAGCCCCCCGGCACCGAGGCTTCGGTGATTTTAAAGTCATTGTATCATTGATTTCCAAAAAGATTTCAAAAGCAGCAGCCAAAGGGCCAAACCTTTGTGCAGCTCAGTGTTTGAGGAGGAGAGAGCACAGCCATTCTCCCATCAGCTAGAAGCAGCCGAGCAAAGGTGACGACACACACACACACACACAGACACACACACAGACACACACACACACACTCATTCAGCTATATTAAAAAGATGGAAGCTGTTATTTCCAAACAACAAAGAGGATCTCTGTGCAGCTGGTTCCTGTCAGAGCTGCTGCCTGAGCTGCATCCAGGCTCCAGAGGAGAAACTAGACGAGGTTCAAGTCATCTGAAGKCAGTTTGAAGTGAAGAATTCAGACAGCTCAGCAGCAAATCAAAGCCAAAAACAAGACGACAACTTTGCTTTCTGTTTGTTTGTTTGTTTCACCTTGGTTCTGTTTCCCAACCTGAAGGACACAGCGACATGACTGCGTCGTCCCTGTTGACAGAAGCAGGAATCCAGCGTTTCAAAGTGTTCTGTTAACTCTGAGCTTTGTGACACGCTGCTTTATTATGGATGACGTGTGAAGTGCAGCGCAGCATCTCAAACCAGACCGAAGGACGTCCTGAGCGCTACTCCTAGGATTTATCTCAGACACAGTTTAGATCCTCTGCATGCTTTCATTATTACAGAAACTAAACAGCACAAAGCTTTTTGGTTTTGGAAATAAAAAGTAAAACAATGAAGCAGTCCGGTTATTCATTTATAGTATTCAAAACAATATTTTTAAAATATTAGAATTTGAGATTTTAAGGAAACAAATAATTGAGTGTAAAAAAAGAGCAAAGCTTAAGTTTTTCTGTGAGGATGAGTTGCATTTTTCACARTTATTCAAAATCCCTGACATAGAAAAGCATAGAAAAAAAAGCAGTGAATGGGGAGGTTTTCTATGCATTTCAAAGGGAGCACACACCAATTATATACTTATAAATACAGAACATATATATCTTAAATCTTTAGATGGAAGATGGTGAAGTTCTTCAGTTTTTAAGCACATCATGTTCACAGAAACTTACGAGTGAGTTTATCAGACAGTCGTTTGCACGATTGTTTCAAAGTCCTGCTACTGATGCTAATGTGCTAAAAGACGAAGCATTTACTTCACAAGTTGCTCAACTTTCCTTAATTTAATGCAGTGATAAGACTGCTTTTTCAAGTAAATGTTCTCATAATATTATGACTTTAATGTTTATAAATGTTATTTATTTGAAATCTGACTTTAACCCGAGCAGCTGGCTCTTAAAACGTCAGAACCATGAGGCAAACAGGATGAAACCCAGACAGACCAGAGGAGCCGTCTTTAACCTGACGCTAATTAACCCTTCAAACAGTTATTAAATGTTCATTTTTATGTTCATCTGATCTGCAGACATAAAACACTGATAAACATTTTATTTTAATTTCATCATAAAGAATAAAAATGTAAAAAGCAGATCTGTGAATAAACACCAATAAAACCCACCTCCAGGTCTCCTTTAGWGATGGATTCCTCTTCTACTCTGAACTGGAGGTCCTCCACTTTCCTGTAAATAATATCAAACGTTTCATTATTATCTATTATTATTATTATATTATGTTTCATTATTTATTATTATAAACTCAACATTTAAACTAAAAAAAATGGAATTTCCTCGTTCGGGGGGTGGGGACAAAAAAACCCAGAAAATAAAATTTGGTATTTGAGTGACATCACCTCTTCTCTTCTTCGAGCTGATTGGCCAGTTCCAGTTTGTCTTTCTGCGTGCTGGCCAGCAAGGCTTTGACCTGCTGCAGGGTGCTCTCGTTCTCAGCGACGTACTGCGAACAGGAAAGAAAACGTMGATCGTTTCGCCCTGCGAGAGTTTAGGTGACGTTTTCACGCAGCCGAGCTTTCCCTCGTACCTGCACGTGCTGCGCCTTGAGGACGCTCAGCTCCTTCTCCACCTCGCAGATGTGGCTGGTGGCCTTGGCCACCTCGGCGCGCTCCAGGTCCCGCTCGGCCAGCAGCTGCTCGATGTGCTGCTGCTTCTCCTTCAGCGCCTCCTGGAGCGCGGTGGTGCCCGAGATCTTACGGGCGTAACGGGACGAGGTCTCCGTCAGCTTCGGATCGGAGAGATTGATAAAAAAAACAAAAAAAAACAGGCAGAGGTTAGGACGCACGCAGCGTTGCATCAACTCCTCTGATCAATAACATTAAATCTTGTTTTTTTTTAAATAGTGTGGTGTAATTTTGTGAATCTTGAGATACACAATAAAATTTTAAAGCACTGCTTCCCTGCGCTTCTATTCTTTATGACGGAGTATTAGGGCCACACAACAAGATTTTTTTTTAAATTACAAGAATAAAATCATAATTTTACGGCATTAAAGTCATATAAAATAAAGTCATAATATTACAAGATTAAAATCGTAATATTACAACTTTAATCTCGTAATATTATGACTTTATTCTCATAAAATTACGACTAATCTCATAATATTATGATTTTATTCTCGTAATATTACAACTTTAATCTCGTAATATTATGATTCTATTCTCGTAATATTACGACTTTAATCTTGTAATATTGATAATAAAAATATTGTTGTGTGGCCCTAATAGCCGTAATTCTTCAACCTGAGGATTAGAATGTTGCATGATGCAATATTTGATTTGTCCACTAGAGTGCGCTGTTTAAAAAGGGATTCAATCTGTTTATTAGCTTTCATTTGATGCAAAATGTCAAAAATACTTTTTTAGATTAAACACAAGTAAACTAGGAGTGTTGCATAAAAAAGTTTTTTTCATTTTGACATTTTTGGAGATTCTGTATCTTRTATCAATAAAATAAGAGGAAAAGGAAGACTATTTTAATTTTTTAAAGAAAAGTTTTATAGTTTAGTCAAACAGTTTTGTATAATTCAGCTTCTCGACAGTAAAACTGCCCATGCATATCGTTAAAAATCTCTTGTTCTCAGCAGAACCAGATGAAACATATTTGTGCATCAGAAAGCTGGTTTGCAGCGTCGCGATCGGCCAGATAATTCACAAAGGTTASTTTCAGCGCTGCGAGCCCATGCTGCCAACAATTAATGAAAGTAGAAGGGAGTGTTCTCCCGTTTGAGCGCTGGCTTGTAACCAGAAGCTAAAATCAATGTGAGRCACTCTGATGTCCCGGCTACTCCTGCTGGCTGCCAAGCAGAGCTAAAGACACGGCGTGTTCTTCTCGTCTGTGGATCTGCTGTGCAGGTTTTCTACAAAACGAGGTACGGTTTGGCAGAAGATGGATATAGCTGACTCGTTGAAYCTTGCTGATTTCATCTTTTAACCCTGTTTAACACAGACATGAGAGGAGCGGTCTGCTCTTCCATCTCTCTGCCAGGGAGCGAGCAAACACAGAATGTCAAACAGTTCCTGTAAACTGCTCAGCACTCTCTGCCTGAACGGCCCCCTCTCTCTGCTCTCAGTCTGAAGCAGCCAGCTTACCAGTCCAGCTCGGCTCGGGCGTCCACCCACAGAGGAGGCCACCGAGCTGACTGAACTGATGGAGGAGCTGCTGGGGCTGTGGGCCAGGGACGAGACCCCCATGGCCACCCGCTTGCTCTTCTTGGCCTTGGCCGGGCTGGTGGAGGGGAAGCCGATGCGGATCACCTTATGGATGGGAGCGAACAGGCCGAACTTTGGAAGACACTGAAAATATCTGCAGGAGGAGACGAGACAAACATCAAGTACAACGAACGTTTAAATCATATTAATCGTTGCRAACCATAAGGCACGTGTCAAACTCAAGGCCCGCGGGCCAAATGTGGCCTGTGGGTGACTCCTGTCTGGCCCCSCTTTTTTACTTAATCTGAAAATAGTTTTTATACCAATGCTAAACTTTAAATTTATGAYTGAATGCACCAAAATAAACTGTAGGGCTGCACGATACTAAACCTGTGATGTGCRATAACAGTGCTCAATATTGCGATAAATGTACGAGTACAAGTATGTACTGTTGATGTCTTTCTGTTCTGGGTTCAGAGCAAAAAAAAGAAAAAACTAAATATTTCCATTCTTGCATGATTTTTTTAAAAAYATCCATCCAACTGGCCAAATACATAAAGGGCTCCATTTGACTGGTGAAACCTCATAARTGCAAACTTTTGAGCAGTTTATGCAGTTTTTTGCGATATGTGTATTGCACAGGCTGCTCCTGATGATAAATGTTCAATATAATGTGCAGCCCTAAGTGGCAGGGTTCARAATTCAAGATGGCAGCTAGTCACCACAACTCATCAGTGAGTAAAACTCTTATATTTAATAGTATTTCTGTAGTATTTATTTTGCATTTATTCAGTCATACACTTAGTACTTTCCTATGTTTATAAGAGGACGTGTTAAAATGCTGTTTCTATGCAGGAAAAACCAGGTAGAGCTCAGTTATTGTTTGTTAGAAAYGAGGAACCTGATGTTTTGTGTCATGAAATGTGGAAGTTAATTACAACTGGACCCTTTGAGGGCCACCATAATGCTCCTGTGGCCCTCGGTGAAAATGAGTTTGACTCCCATGCCATAAGGAATGAGTGTGGAGCTAAAATAAATGATCCTAAGTGGAACATGCCAAACAAATGGTGCAGAGCCATTCTGGGGTCAGTCGGTGTAATTTTAAGGACTATTTGAAGCAACAACAGATGGATCCACATCCTTCCTCTCACTTTTCCTTTTAGGGGAAAAAGGGAAGGAGGTTTAGGGTCTGYGAGCCTACAGGCCATGTGTGTCGGATGTGAGAGCGAGAGCAACATACCTTGTACCAGCCACCGCACCATCATTCTTCCCCAGGGGCTCATCGAGCTCAACCCCACACCATTCACCCTTAGCAAAGTCCGTTTCCCCCATATAACGAATAACTCCCATTTTAGAGCCTCCCACCTGGAAGTAAAGGAGAAAAAACACGATAATCAATATTTGTTTTTACATTTAYTCACCCAGACTCTGCTTAGGAAAACCTAGACATCCTTCTCCCCAAGAACTTCCAAAGATACGGTATGTACTGTAGCCCCATACTGGCCATGACAGAAAACCCCTAAAGCCATCCTAAGTGGACGCTTGAACCACCTCAGCTGACTCCTTTGGCTGAGGAAGAGGAGCGYCCTTCTTTCCTTGGTATCTGTTGTCAACATTCAAAAAGAAACATAACTAAAAAAAAGCCCAGTCTAATATTCACACATGGTGCAAACCTGAGTAAAACAGCTGCTGAATGTCTTCTCCACATGGTGAMCACGTGTCTGACACATGAAAACTTAGACATGCAGTTTCCTCAAGACATCCAGGAGACATTCCTTCAAGAAATGCACACCACCCGCTGAGGTTCAGGCAAAAGTTTCAACCACTTCTTTCCAAGTTTCAAAATAAAAATAAAAAACTCACACATACAAACAGAGAAGTGGACAATAACATTATCATCCACATAGTGCTGGAAACACCAAAACAAAAAAATCCCTTTAATAAAAGGAGTTTTTTTTAAAAGTTTCTTGCGTGCACATCAAGATTATGAGAGCATTTATGTTAGTATGAMACAAACACAAAGACGTGTGCTGAATTGTTTTTATTTGCAATTGTCACTTGGACTTTGAAACCCACTTGTCCAKCTGTGAAACCACTGAGGCCAAAAGCGAAACGCTGTGTTGTCACAAGAGACGGCTGCTGTCAGCGTGTGTCACAATGACTTAGTGTTGAAAAGTCATGAGGCCTTCGCCGCTCGGCACAACAATAATCCACGCTCGCAAAAATACTCTACTACCAATTTTTATTTCATTAAACTGAGGTCAGGAGGGATAATCCGAGTCAAAGATCCGTCCTCATGTGTCCCTCTCCTGCAGGGATCATATAATTCAATACCAAGTGAAGTGAAGTCCTGACTTTGTGTCCATGGTGTGTAATCTGAGTTTGTGCTAATTTCACAAAATATTGAAGGGAGCGTTWTAGAGGAGGCTGAAACAACCGGATAGCGGCACATCCGAGCCACTGCAGCGAGATAGATTACACTGGAGGGGCTTAGTGAAACGATGGATCCACTGATCAATGTGTCAGCAATGGTTTGCTCTCTTAAGTGCTGAAAGTAATCCAGAGTGATTTATAATATTGACCAGCGTGGAGGGCTTCGGGGTCTCCCTGTTTCTAGATGAACACCCATCAGTAAATGGACAGCCACGTGACCCGGGGGTCGATACATCCGAGCAGGAAACACTATAAACACTAACAGGAGGCCATGAGGTAATGAGCAAAAGGTCCTGTCAGGGTCAGCTACAAGATGACAGAATAACCGTATAAAAATAGATGAAATTAAACTTTTTATGGGACACGTTTGGTGCTAACATAATCTCAGACCRTCCTCATGTCTGTCCCTGACATATAAAGCTACAGTCTCTGTACCTGAAACTTCAGTTCTCAGTAGTTCTCAGTATCACCACAGATTCCCTTCAYTTTAGGAGATTGGAAATCGACCAATACTTGTATAAGATCGGCTTCTCTTAATCATAAAATCACCCACTGTCCCCTTTTGCTCTGCTGTGAGCACCACCTAATGTCCTGGTAAAACAAGCATTGTTTCAAGGGTATTGTTCTATGTTTTCCAATAAAACTAGATACCACATATAGCAGTAACACATATGACCATCAATGCACCAGAACTCACCAGAACTGATTTATTGTTTTGGGAGTGGGTGAGGAGGGGTGGAGGTGCTCAGTGGTGGGCCTGATGGATAGCCCTTCATCAGAGCTAAACTAGAAATATCTGAAGCTCCTGTGTTGAATAGTTTTTCGAGTTATAAGCATTTTTGTCCAGACTCCAAATTTTTAGATGGAGCCCCCTCYCCAAATATAGGGTCTATTATAAAACCGTTGGTTATCRGCCAAAATCAGACTCAGTCAGACTTTATAAAGATCRGTGATYGGYCAGAAAACTGCAGTCGGTGCAGTCCTAGTTCTCAGCATTGATCAAAAAGTCACACACGACAAAAACATGTTAAATCTTTGACAATAAAAACATAAAACGACTCACCAGAACTCGATCTCCGACTCGCAGGTCTTTATCTCCGGCCTTTTTAACCGACCCGCTGTCGGACATGTTGGACCCAGACTCGTTCCCTGTTTTCACCCCGCTGTTGAGGAGCCCCTCTCTGAGCGGCACCACCACCCTCTGGCCAGTGGGGGCGCCACCGCCTCCTCCTTGCTGGCTCTGATTCTGGGTCGAGTCGGTGGAGTGGCTGTCGCTCCCCTCTCCCACCGGCTGTCGGGTGAGCTTTGAGGGTCTCGTGAAAATGCCCTGAAGGGGCTGGCACTCGAAGTAGCGCACGCCACCCACTGACCCGTCGTTCTTGCCAACTAGGTCATTCAGAATGACGCCTGCCCACTGTCCGGGGGCGAACTGGGTCTCCCCAAGGTAGGCGATGACTCCAGGTTTGACGCCGTTGACCCAGACTTGTTCACCGACAGTGTAGTCTCCTACAACATCGTCGCCCTCCTCCGAGATTTTACATGGAGTAATGGGCTTAAGTGGCATACCTAAGACAAACAAAAAGACATTCTGAACTTTAAAAAAAAAACAGCTCAGGTGTTCATGAAACTAAAACACAAAAGCAGAATATGTTCTAATAAAAAAAGCTCATTTCTCTAATCTTAGACCTAAAACCTCTTTTGTTTGTTACTGAAGCACTAAAGACTCTGTGCTTTTTGACATTTCCATCACCTCCCCCTCTGTTTAACTGTCACGGCTGCAGAGAAAAGATGCCTGCGTGGCAACATTCAGCACACATTGCAGTTCATGCAAGATTAGGCGATACTCTAATTCTTTCTGAAAAGTGGGTCAGAGCGATGGTATCTGTGACGTGCCGGTGATTAACCCTGCCATGCTGCTTGAGATACTGCCTACTTGACACCTAAATGAGTCGCATCCCAGTTTTAGTTTYCACAGCAGTCTGTAAGGGGACCATTATAGGCGGTCTGGTGCACCGCACTGCCAGTAAAGCATGTGAATGATCGGTGCCGCCAGCGTCTCCTTACCAACACAGGAGAAAGCTTGGGGCTTCSCTGGTCTCAGATGTTGTGTTTTATGTAGTTTGTGTTGTTTGCTTCCGTATGTTGGGATGTGAGRCACGTGTGGTAGGGTACGACTACCGAGGAGCGGTTAGCATCGACTCATTACTGYGAAAAGGACGCCGGTTTGAATCTCAGTTGGACGTTTTCATTTTCATCTAATAGTTTAGGGGTCAGGGTTAGCCTTGGCATTATATGGAATCAACAAAACATCTCAAAACACTGCTTGGATTTRAATGAAACTCCCAGAAWKTAATTAATGGTTGTGCCTCTACAACTGATCAACCAAATTCAAGATGGTGGTCACAGCTACCTAATATTAGCCTACACTTATTAACATGGACTGTCATCAGGTAGGCAGCGTCCTTCGACGGACCCAGGCCCTGAATTTGGTCAMAGTCASCAGGTAGGCRGKGTCCTTCGAAGGACCCAGGTCCTGAATTTGGACACAGTCAATGGGTAGGCAGGGTCCTTTGAAGGACGCAGACCCTGAATAAGGACACAGTCATCGGGTAGGAAGTGTCCTTCGAAGGACCCAGGCCCTGAATTTGGATAAAGTCAGAGGGTGGGCAGGGTCCTTCGAAGGACCCAGGCCCTGAATTTGGACACAGCCATGTTTAGACTCAGTTTCTTCTAAGTGGGATACAATGACACAAATGATAAGCCCCGTTGGCGTGGCATTTAAAAACCTGAGCAAACCCTTGTGATCTGGGTTTCTTAGGCGACAGAGCCGAGAGGGTAAAAGGATCCTTGGCAGAAGGAAGGCTGGAAACACAGCCCTTACTTTCACCATTGTGTTTGGCCTCCTCCTACCACCATCTGAATCCTACTATTCATCAGCTYGGCACAATGAATCCTCCACAGCTTCCTCCCGCCTCCCTCCCTCCTCCTAATTACCCCCCTCTATCTCTTGCTGTTTTGGTCACACTCACAGCCCTCTTTAACTCTGCTGATTTATGATCATTTTCACTAATCATCACCCTAAATCCGTAACTTATTGGGTTGATGTTTGATGGCTTTTGTTGGTTGGTGCGGGTCGATTGTGTGTATTTTCTTCAGCAGAGGTTGTGGCAGCTGTGGATGGGTGAGCAGTGACAGATGGAGGGGTGTGGGGTGGTTGAGCCTGAACCTTCCTGACTTCTGACCACTTTATTGCTTTTAAACGCAGCTCAGAATCATTATAGATGTTTGTGACTGAGAGCATCATGAGCAATGTATAAAGGACAAATCAGTTCCATTTAAGTATTTTATGTAAACATAAACAGACTTCATTTTTGTCCCATTTTAATCATGTTGGTGAAATGACTGWGAGGTTCAAAATGCATGAAGTATTTGTAGTTTTAACCATTTTGATAAAGCAGTGACTTTGTTTGGATGTGTTTTATTTCACCTCATGCTACAGGCTGCACGGTTTGGGGTTGTTGTATCACATGGGCTCACATGGTTTGTTACTCTGTCTAAGAGAGAGTTTAAAAAAACTATTTGGAATTTGATTAAAGCCTAAAACTGTTCTACTTTCTCCCATACAATTTCTGCCAGGTCTAGCTGAACTTTACACTGTTAAAGAGACKGCAACGAGAAGAAAACAGACTTTTTCTGCTGCAAATGGACTTTCCAGGGTCTCAGGAGACCACGAGAGGTGGCACTGCTCGGTTATTTCACATATCAAGCAGCCGGAGGAGAAGGGCTTTCTTCTATTCACTCCACGGCTCCCTCGGGAGTCTGAGCCACTTCTTTAAATTTAGTCGAATAAACTCGGCCAGCTTCCGACACAGTGGCCCCTCTATCTGTCGCAGCGGCTCAAACCAACAAACAGCAGGTTTAGATTCAGACCACGAAGTGAGGTCACCGTGGAGAGGAAGCACATCCCTTCACGTCTTTTTGCTCAGACTCTGGTCTTAAACGAGAGAGGTCTTAATGCTCAAATCTATTTTTTTGTTGTTGATTATCACACGCAGCACGCCGTGTTTACAGAAGTAAACATGGATGCTACACGTGTTAGCACGTCTGGATCCATTTTGAAGTTCTTGTGCAATCAGAGACTAAATGTACTAAATTTCCATCTGCTGTGCATTTGATCCAGTGTTTATGTTTGATCCTGCTGCTTCCTGCCTACTCGGGTGCAGAATGTCACTTTTAGAGCACGARCGACTGAAAGTAGAAGCAAACGACCTCTTTCCACGACAGAAAGATGTGTTAGGGGTGGGTTTGCTTCAAGCCCGGTCTAATCAGAAGTCACATCAAGGTGATCAGAACACGTTCAAGTCTAAGCTCTTCTGAATATTATTTTATTAAATCATCTTTTCTCACGTCTTTGTGACAGTCTGCATCTGCACCAGCAAACCCTGACATAAACTCTGAATGTGGTGTTGTTAACCTATTATGTGACCCATCATATCGAAATGAGAATTAAGTCGAATTGGACTCATCACTGTACAGTTCTTTCATTGTCTGATGCCCTGACTTTTCAGAATTATGTTTTGTATAGTGGTATTAGTTCATATTTTCAGATCTTCCAAGGTGCCAGTTATGGAACTTTTCTGTGCATTGTTG